GTTAGAGCTCTTTAAATGAGGAATGAACGTTTGTTATGTAAAAACTCCCACAGACTTCAATTACAAGTGATCAAAGCCGCAGAGATGAGAAATATAAGCAAAAACGCTTTGATGGAAAATTCACAAAAACTTCGTTTCGTCTACAGCGCTGGTGTTTTATGAGGTCGTAAATCAGAGCCGATGTTCTCTCAGCTCTAATAGTCAAGATAATCAGGGGAATCGTAAATTAACTTTTCATTCGCATTCAATCTGAAGATAGCTAAGCTTGTGTTCTCTGCAGCAAAATTACCAAGTTAACGCAATACACGTAGCCAGAGTTGAACTGCACCGCTCACATGGTCTTGAAAACGATCGTATGGCCAATGGAAACCAAATTCTTCTCTCTTTCAAAGTCGACCATGCAGGTAACAATGTAAGTCTAAGAGAAAAAAGACGGCGCATGTATTGGTAGATTCTCTAAAACATTGTTTCATCACTATGGACCATTTCAATTCCCTCTATAATGTCGTGAATATTTACGATTTACAGAACTATATATATATATATTATATATATATATATATATATACGTTTATGTAAACTTTTGGACGATAAGGGTCACCACGACTCTCAACTGGGCACGCCGTTTATATGGTTGTGTAGAGTGGTGCTAATCCAATAGTATTTCGGGTTCTCCAAGGAACATTATCATGATTAACGATAATATGACTGATGAGACTTCCATAAAAATTATTTGAGCAAGCTTAACCTGATACTTCCCAAAATCTTGCCTTTTCAAAGGAAAAAACCACGTCCAAACAAAAGCAAGAAGGAATCTATTTTCATCGTTGTTTTCATCATTTTTTCTTAGGAAATTCCGATTGTAATACTAAGCTTGTTGTTTAAAAAAATTCTACAATACGTTCTAATAATAAATAGGATATGACGTTCTCCAATCGCAATTTATTTTTTCCATTTCATAGCGGGTCTTTGGGATTATCACGTCAGATTTCAATTTTCATAGGTTTTTCGCCAAAAATGATTGGATTATCATTGAAAAGGCTTCTGCAAAAGTACTTCCAAATAAAACTGTGGACATGTCTGAATAAAATATTACAGAAATGTTCGAAAAAGATCCTAAATTCAAGCTTTTATGAATACTTAGTTTTTTTCCTTGGAAGTGTAGATGTAGATAAATGGAGAAATTACGTTATTTCTCATGTCAAAACAATAATATAAATTAAGCCTGTCCTATTATATTCAATTAATTACTAAGGCAGAAATTCCATTCATTGGCGAAAAATATCAAGTTCGTTAAAAAACTGCCACACTTGTACTAGAGAGCGTGCCGATAGTCTCTTCGTAGGCGTCTGAACCGCCCGCCAGCCGAAATTGGCACCGTCTGCAAATGGATATATATATATATATATATATTTATATATATATATATATATGTATATATATGAGTATATAGATGTGTAAATACATAGATAGATAAGTATATATATATACGCCTATACGCCTGTGGAAAGATTGGTCTTCAACTGAATCTAACGAAAACAATGTTCATGAGGAACGGATGGGTTTCTAATGCCCCATTCACGCTCAACGGAACGACAATCTCCGAATGCTCCAGTTACGTCTATCTAGGCCGTGAAATCAACATGATGAACGACCTAGCTCCAGAGTTAAGCAGGAGGAGACGAGCGGCTTGGGGAACGTTTAAGAGCATCGAAGGTGTAGTGAAGAGGACAAAGAACATCCGACTCCGTGCCCACCTTTTCGACTCGACAATTATCCCTGCCCTGACGTATGCAGCAGAAACCTGGTCGCTACGTAAGCAGGATGAAAGATCACTTGCCGTTATCGAACGCGCAGTCGAAAGGTCGATGCTAGGAGTATCCCGTATCTCGCAAATGAGTGGAAGGATCCGAAGTTCCGACCTACGTCAACGATCGAAAATCAGAGACGCCGTTCTACACGCCAGGATATCGAAAATAAGGTGGGCCGGACACGTGATGCGCTTCAACGACAACCGATGGACGAGAGCCGTTACCGACTGGATTCCTCGGGACGTCAAGCGCTCTAAAGGAAGACCACTGACCCGTTGGTCCGATTTCTTTACGAAAGCGATGGAAGAAAGATATGATGCTCAGCGAATCCCTAGAGCGAGGAGGACCCACTGGGCTACTCTTGCACGCGATAGGGAAAAATGGAAGAGTTGCTGGTACCCGCTCGAGTCACTCGACGATCAACGGGACGACAGGTGATACAGGTTATATATATATATATATATATATATATATATATATGTAAGGAGAGATATGAGATATACTTTGAAAAGGATACATATATGTGCTGAACCTGAAGAGTTTGATTCACGATAGAGAGATGAGCAAAAAAAAAAGGACAGCAAAAAGGACCAGAAGATGTGCGAACGCCTTTTAGCCATTATGGAGGTTGATTGCAGATTATAGAGCAAGTGGGCACTCACATAAGCTAAGTGTATTTCGTAAACCAGATCTGTTCAAGCTTTCAGGTGAATAATTGGAAACTTATCAATTAGTTGTTTACAAGGTAAGTAGGAAAGTCAAACTTTCATAAGTCGCCCGTCCAAATAAAAATTAGTCACCTAAATAAGAACCACATTGTTCACAAATGAAGGGATCTAAAAGGGGTCGTAAAAATAATTATTCGGCAGTCTATTGTCATGACTACATCTCTTCACCGAAGTCCTCCACATTGAAATAAGCAGCGATTGGATTTTGTGAGTAAGCCAAAATTCTAAATCATTTTAGTAGAAGTAATAGTAACCGAGAACATTGGCAGGTACCCACGGTTTTTCTCAAAATAGACCGAGAAGCTTAATTGCTACCGTAGACTTAGAATGGAAGCCGTAGTTTAGTGATTTTAGATTTTCGGCCGTGTTTACGGACACGATGCAATCCGCTTATAGTTCAGCATGTCCTTGCTCCTTCATACGCCTATGATGACCTTTGTATATAATGTGTAACTCGTTTTGAGTGACATTGGCAAAATCCATATTTCATTGCCAACTATATTTTTGGGAAGGTATATGACCACTATCACACTTTATACGATTTTCCTTCCGCTGCTTGGGAGCATTAAAGGAACTTATCTCACCACTAACCGGTATCAGTTTGATTATATATAGGAATATGTGAAAATAATGCATGAAATTTTACTGAGAATCTATTTTCACAAAGACACTATCAGTGAAGATCACTTTGAGTATGGTAACGGATCATTTCTGTCACCCTGTCTCACTTCGAGCGCTCGTCGAAAAGTGCTTTACTGAAGGTATCAAAGTATCACTAGTCATTCGACACCTTTAATCTTGAAAAATTTAAAAACGCATTTGATTTTTGAAACGGCTTTTTTATTGCGCTGTTACAGCAAAAAAATATTAATTTTCTCATTCGAATATTTCTCGCTGTACGAAGTTTTTTTTCAAACTGTTGATAAATTTTCGATATCTTAAATCTTGTGAATTCCGACGGGTTTTTTTTCTGTTTATTTGAAGGAACCTTTTGTTGGATGTAGATCAAAATAAGATTGGGTTTCGGAAATTTTTATAATCTCCGTAATTCGCATCTTTTTCTAAACCCTCGAAAAATAAACGCGCCTCTTGCTTGTTTCTCGAATCTTGGCACTTTTCAATTAATTTCAGAAATTCCAATGGTGTATTCAATTTCTTAGAACGGCTCTTTTGCCTTCCCGTTACAGCAAAATAGATTTATGTTTCTCAAGCATTTCTCGCCGAACAAAGCGCTTCCTTTAGACTTTTAGTAACCATTTGATAGCTTGAATATCGCCTTTTTATTGTTGTAGCGCAATGGAAGAGTTGTTACAAAAGAAATGACGTTTATTAATTTTCTGAGATTCAATCTATCAAATGATTACCCAGACTTCCAAACCATCAAAAATAGCTTTTCCACGAGCGCTGGAACTGGTACCGGATAACGGAAAAGTCCCTGATTTACTTAACCTATTGTGGACTGCAGCATTATTAATTAATACAAGTGGCGCGTGATTTTCGTTATTCAATAAGAGCTTTTTTCTTCGTTTTGCAAAAAATCTACGCTTCTTATAACATACTGATGCTCTTTTCCCTATACGTTATATACAGTCCATATATAATTATATGCGAGGAAAACTCTGAATAACGTAATTTAATTTTTGTTCTCACAGCGCACTATGGAAACCTGCTCAAACATCAAATTCAAATTTGAATTTTCGAGATTCTTGCTATCGTACGACTTTCACCATAGTTTGATGATAAGCGATTTACAGACCGTAGCCGAGCGAAAAAAGTAGATCGAGTATGAACTTAATGTAATCTTCGCTGTTAAGGAGCACTTGAATGACGTTACTAAAGACCTAAAGACCAACAACGGTGTTGTAACTCAGTACACCGTGACAGTATATAAATATGGAGGAAATGACAAAATATACTATACTACCTTTCATTCGCCTCTCGTAAAAGACAATTTCTCGAACAGTTTTTCTACATTTTATTTGTTGATAAAGCTTGTAGCACGAGGTTCTTAATGCACTGAGAAATCGAATACACACAAAGATTTTGCCTTCTGTCGTTCACTGTCGCCGTTTCCAACCATGATGATCAGGATAAAAGGGATAATCTCTTTCAGCTTTAAACGAAAGTGGTGACAAACCCGATTTTTCGCTCGAGATATTGAGTATTTTCTTATATTCTTAAAAAAAAGGAAGAATTTTCGCTGATGTAACTTTAACATTATTTGATTCTCAATTTTATGTCTACGTAATAAGTCTTACGCAAAACATTCGACCTCATGCACACTTGAACCCACGTTTCATCCAAGATGGAGGCGTCTCTACACCATCGTGGTCAGACCGTATATTTATAACCATTTGTAATACTCATACTTATACTCGAAATTCGAAGTACTCACTGCATTTTTCGTAGTGTTATTATGTGTTATATATACCTAAGAGAACTGGGTGGTGAGCAAAAACAGGGCCTCAAGCGGGAATCGAACTCGCGTTCATCCTATCCACGAACGCGCGCTCCATCACTACACCACCGAGGCACATTTGCCCGACCACTAATTTTACAACATCTCTATGTTAGCTATCAGCCACCAACCTTAACACGTTATGTCGTGTATTCAATTTCGCTTTATAAACCCAGCTGAGCTGGCAGCCATTGCACAATCATTGTTTTTGCTCACCACTCAATTCTTTTAGGCATATAAGAAACATAATAATAGTGCGGAAAATGCAGTAAATACTAGAAATTTCAAGCATTAGTTAGTGGAATGGCTGTCAGCTCAACTGGGTTTATAAAGAGAAATCGCGTACCCTACAAAACCTGTTGAAGGTCGGTGGCTGATAGCTGGCATGGAGATGTTGAAGAATGAGTGGTGGCGCATATGTTGCTCGGTGGTGTAGTAGTAGAGCACGCGTACTCGGATAGATATCGTCATATGCTAATGTTCGCATCACATTTTGTAGGGTGGCAGTGAATAGTTTTGGCGAAATTGTATCGCCTTGTCGGACCCCTCTTCTTACGTCAATGGTATTACTGTTGTAGAAAAGCGATATTTTGGTCGTGAAATTCTTGTATAGCTCACGAAGGATCGTGATGTATCGAGGAGGGACGCCCTGGTTATCCAGAGCCTCTATAACCGCTTCTGTTTTCACTGAATCAAAGGCCTTCTTCAGAACAATGAAAGTTAGAGAGAGTAGTTGTTTGTACTTTCGGTAAACTTCAATGAGTCTTGCAATTGTGTGGGCGTGGTCTATGGTACTAAACCCTTTTGGGAGCCCTGCTTGTTCGCATGGATGTCCTTCGTCCAGTGCTATGAGGCCTTTTGATTTCAATAAGCCAACATTCAATTACATATTTACTGCATATACGCCGACCTACATGCTGACCAAGTAGTCGGAACTGTACCTAAGGATATGCCGGAAGCAGACGACGAGCGAGGTGAGAATTTATCTCACATAAGTTACGGAAAGATGAAGCTTTTGAAGTAGAACCAATCTTTGAGAATTCCTAATGCATTTGATTTCAATCGTTATACTGCAGAAGTAACAGAATAAGTGGAGTGCACAATGATCGGTAGTGGTAATACCGATGAGCTGAGCTAATGTTTCTGTCCCTCACATATTGTTAGGTATTCATTTCCCAACTGTGGAGAGATGGAAGGTATTGTGAGCTCAGAAAACGACATCGAACTCGTGATGATTTTATTGCGTATTGCTGGGCACCTCTAACCAGTGCGTTGCGCCGCGCATCTACTTCATATATTTGGGAACAGAAAATAACCTTCAACTGCGCATAAAAATGCATCATTTTCTATGTCATATTTCCTGCCTTCTCCGACTATCAAGTTAACACGAGGCTGATATAAGTGACTAGTTTCGGTCAATATTTAAATCACTTCGCTTTCTTCAGAAGCGTCTCATTTCGCTATCTCTTGACCAGTATATTCATCACACAAAAGTGTGGCATTCATCCAGGCGAGTTCGCCCTTTACTAGTTTGAATCCGATGCGAAAGTTCCATAACGAGAGGACGCCACCTTTGCGTAGACCCATTACTCGGATATGCGCAGCTTTCAAAATGAAGGCGTCGAATCGTTGGACGATCAAAATTAGCACTCTTGACTTTGCTTAATATTTTAGCAAAATACTCTTCATTGAATAATAAACATCCAATTTGTGACACCAGTATCTCTTTGGAGTTCTGCCGCAGGGGTAGAATATTTAATGTATTGCGTCAAGTGTATAATATATACATATATATATATATATATATATATGTATATATATAACTTGACTATATATATATATATATATATATATATATATATTCATTCATTTCTTATGAGGTCAATGTATTATTTCAAGTGTTTCGAAGACTGATGTCAAACATTTTATTTCCTTTCTCTTTGATATGTTCTAGCAATAGCTTTCTTCGAATGTTGTAACATTATAAGTCATTGAAAAGTTTATTCTATGAACATAAAAAATAATTGAGTTGAGAGCAATGATCTTGAAAAAATTGCTTCTACAAAACCACATTCGGCCGTGTTGTGATGCGAACGCTTCAAAACAAGCACCAGTGATAATAGAGTCAAAGAAGTCGTAATAATCGTACAATGCAGCGATAGCCTAGAAAGTTTCGTCCTGACGAGATCATCCCTGAAGGTCGATAAGAGAGGCTACAGATGTGCATACGCTACTGACAACAATAAACTAAGAAATTCACTGGGAAAAAATAAACACAGAGGTGTTCATGAAATTGTGAAAGCATACAGCATGAGCATTTTTGGTGCCTCAATAAATTTAGAAAACACTAGAAGGTGGTAAGTGTTGAAAAAGATGCCACACAAACCGAATTACGACCAGAGATGGCATCATTTTGAGGTATTACTGGCGCTTCAGTGCAACTGGAACCACTTATTTCTCGTCCTTAATGTAACGTTGGAAGAGGAATGAATCTTTTACGTATTTAGAGGCAATTGCCTCCGTAGTTAGACTGCGATAAAAGTCTACATCCTTTGTAATGCCCAAATTTATCAAAAGAAGTTCATAGCCGTTTAGTCACAGTGATGACTCAAAATTATCTCATATTAATTATTTATGTATTTATGCGACCCGTCATCACAATTTTTATGTGCCAATCCCAGTACTTCTAGCATTCGAATCGTTGTTCGCCTTCTTGAATGACGTAGAATACTGGTCAAGCATGTTTCCTTGCAATCTCAAGGATAGTCTGGCTGTGGCCGTAAGCGTATCATATCATACCATATCGATTTACTCTCTCAGCATTTCGTATGCGTACTAAAAAATCTAGAAAAAGAATGAATTTGAAAAATACTAGCTGTAATATCGAAAACCTTTTCTTAAAAGACTTGTGTGTGGGAGTCATTCATCCTTTGTCTCATACTATAAGTAGCGAACCTTGATCAAATCATTATAGCATGAATCTGAGATAAGTTGCGATATCATTTTTTAATGTTTAGGCAGTCTTCCCTTTAATTCACTTTTGAAATTCATCAAGGAGGTCTTAAAGGATTTCTGTGGCCGGCAATTTCGAGTGTTGTTCCAGGATTATTGGACCACCCTCAAGCCATCTCTACTATGTCTTTCCGCTCATGTGCACCTACAGCAATCGCCCGACTATTCGACTTCAGGTGTTCTTTTATCCGGACGCCAAATGTTTTACTTGTTCTGCCTATAAGTTTGCTACACATTTTACAAGAAATTATATATATATATAGAAGCTTGTAGATGAATTCATGCAATCTCCCCCTCTACCATTAAAGAATATCACGCAATCTTCCGTTTGCATTATTGGTCATACAGGTGGTTCTTGTAGCTGATCGGTACGTTAGAAAAAAGAAAATAGAGAAAGACAGAAAAACATCTTCAAGATATTTCTCTTTATCAGCCATCCTCTGACTAGGAATGTAAAGACCAAAGCGGAAGATTAAATATGTCAGATAATTATTTTTCGAGCCACACATGTGCTCTTTTATATGGGCTGACTTATAGAGCCCGATACACGTGTTTCAACCTTGCCGGTCTCATCGGTGTTTCAGGTGTTGGGACCTTTATAGAATAACAGACCACATTTTGTTCTATTTTGCTATGGTTGAGTAATTGTGTTATCTCGTATATTGCGCAATAAAACCAGCTCTAGCCAGTTGCAGCTGCCCCTAACAACATGAGAGACGTAACGTAACCATCAGAAATTCTATGAGATCAGCAAAATATTTGAGAAATATGGGAGAAGACAACACAGAAAATGAGTTTTTGAAACGCAAGTTTACAAATTTTCCATGAGAAAGCGAAAAAAAACAATTAAAATGCGGTCTTCCCAGGTATGTAGCTTTCTGGAAAGCAGACATTTTATATGACATTCTTTCAATAAAAATCCGCTTATAGAACTCTCTCCAGTAATGTCCGATCCTCTCGCAGCGACGAAGTAGGCCCAAAATCCAGATTTTATTACATTGTTCAAAAAAGGTCCGCGGTGAAGATGACACAACGCATTTTTAGAGCAAAAAGCTAAGAGGATAGAGCTATCGGCGGCCATCGATCCTGAGGGACGCGTCTTGCAATCGTCTCCAATTTTTAACATCATTTGAGGTGGTTGAAGCATGTTTGGTCTTCAACATGACTCGCGATGGCTCTACCGATAGATTGAGCAGTGCTGCTTATGCTCCCAGACAAGTTTGAAATTTATCAACCCCGGAAGGATGGGAGGTTTAGTGAGCCATGAACGTGACATCGAACCCCCCCCCCCCCCCCCCCTACGTTGCGTACAATACAGAAACCTTTAACAAATGAGCCACATGCGCTTTTGAGCAAGAAGTCATCTTTTTTAGCAAAATATATTATGAATACCATCAAAAAATCGTGTGCAGCACTGAAATTTCCAGTTTTCTAGCTGTTTATTGATTACTAATACTCTAATGAAAATCACTGTTGACTAAAAAAGGAAGGGAAATACGAACATATTCCACACAGTACGACTGCATTCCATTCAATTCAAAGGTGATATTGAGATTTTTCAAGAAAGTTAGGCGCTCTTTTCACTAAAAATACGTTCTCATATGTTCTTCCAGCAATGGTCTATCTAAGCTAATTTAGATTTTCTTCACACAATACCAAAATTTACGTTGTGCAGTTAAAAAAGGAGGGCGATTGAAAAACTTCACTTTTTATTGGTTAGTAAAACGTAGAATGAAGTTCGAACCCAGAAATCAGGCTTACTATCAAAATAGGCATTTCCCAAGCTAGCGAACGACTACAGTAACGTGGATTTAGAAAGAAAATGAAGCAAGTATAGTCAGATGTTATATAACAATTGGAGATATGTCTCTTTTCAAAAAGATATGGTTTTTCATACTGAAAACTTGTAGAATTTCAGACATTTGGGCGTCCTTCACACTGAAAAGGCCCAAAAACCTTTATAGGAGTCTCCTTCATGATGTTTCATCATTTAATAGTGATAATGTCCTTTTAGAACCCAAATCTACCAGATATTTCTCACATTTCCGTTGCTTCTGTATAAA